CTGCAGCTGCGCCGAGCGCGCACCGTATCAATCACTAGATGTTTGGAGCACGCAGGAGTGGGCGAATCCAGCGACCCCCCAGTCATGTCCCGGTCGGACCGCCGACCGGGACATGACTGGGGGGTCGGGGGCCGAGGCCGACCCCCCTTCATATGTCCCAGTCGGCGGTCCGACTGGGACATGTCAAGGCGAAGTATGGAGCCACAGTCTCTTGCGACTGCTGTGGGGCGTGTTCGACGCTCCGACTGGGACATGTCAAGGCGAAGTATGGAGCCACCAGTATCTTGCGACTGCTGTGGGGCGTGTTCGACGCAGCTGTGGCTCCATACTTCGCCCTGACATGTCCCAGTCGGACCGCCGATTGCGGCACCACGCCTCCCCCTTCACATGCCCCCGTCGGCGATCCGACTGGGACATGCGAAGGAAGTCGGCGCAGGCTCCTAACATCCCCTCGCGTATCCCACTCGGGTCGCCGACTGGGATACGTGAAGGGGTGCTGGCAGCGGAGGCCCCGAATGGTTGGCCGAACAGATGGCGCAGGAAAACCTACCATTTTGCGCTGAAAGTGGTTGGTTTTTCGGGGTCGACCACCGTGCCCAACCTTATAAAGGAGCTCCTCTCCTAAGGCGTCCGCCCTCGGGAGCAGTTTCTATGGCGGCCTTCGCAGCTGTGGCGCTGGACTAACCCTTCACATGCCCTGGTCGACTCGCCGACCAATACCTGTAGATGGTGTGCGTGATTTCCATATACGATTTCGAATGCGATCCGAATCCCTACGCGCTGCCAAGACCTATCGTGCTCGCATTTCGTTGTTTGGGGCTTCGGGACCATACAATGCATAGCCCACACAATATATAACACGAGGCGCTCGGAATATAAGTTCGGATGTGCGGCCATGTGTTCAGCCCTTCGGCCGTGTATTTATATATATATATATGTATGTTTACTTAGAAACTATAGATATGTACATCTGTATGCTTAAATACGGAAAGCGGAGACCGACCACATGGTAAATAAGATGGTCGGTGCTTCCTGTGGCCAGAAGACACCTGTCCCCACGAACAACATACACGTGCAACCACTGATTACAAACAAACATACATTTATACACAATGCTTTGCTATGTGCGTACCACCTAATGGATACATACGTGTATATTTGTATATGTTTGTACACAGATATTCACGATTGTGTATGCGATGAAACTCGAGGCCCTCTGAAGGCATCCCCGGGGTTGCCTCGCGAGCCCACTTGGGGGAATCGAGCGGGACGCCGTCCTACCAAAACGAAGGAACCCCTTCCTCCCCTCCTCCTCCTCCTCCTCCTCCTCCTCGTCTCCCTCTTCCTCTTCCTCCTCCTCCTCCTCCTCCTCCTCCTCCTCCTCCTCCTCCTCCCCCTCCTCATTATTCTCCTCCTCCACCTCCTCCACCTACTCCTCCGCGTCCTCCTTCCTCCTCCCTCCTCCCTCCGCCCTCCTCCCTCCTCACTCCTCCCTCCTCCCTCCTCCCTCCTCCCTCCTGCCTCCTCCTCCTCCTCCCTCCTCCCTTCTCCCTCATCTCCCTCCTCTCCCTCTCCCTCCTCCCTCCTCCCTCCTGTCCCCTCCCTCCCCCTTCCTCTTTCCTCCCTCCTCTGTCCTCCCTCCTCCTCCTCCTCCTCCCCCTCCTCCTCCCTCGAGGCTCCTCCAGGAGGGCGGACGAGGAGGAACTGAAAAGGAAGGCAGGAGGAATGATGATGGAGGACCAGGAGGCCATGGTGAGGACATGCGAGAATCTATGAAAGCAAACTGTGAAAGCCAGAGCCCGCAGCAAAGGGCAGATGGAATGCGCAGGAGGCCACAGCGCAGGCCAGCGCGAACCACAACCCCAAGATTGCGAACCACAACCTCACGGATAGAGAAGCATGGGATGAGAGAGTGCGTCGTCGAAAGATATGGAGGACTCCTTCTCTATTACTCGGATGCGATTGTAACCCCGAGATCGGGGTAGTCATATTCTAGAGGCGCGCCGCTTGAGCCCAACCGGCGGCAGGCGTCACAGAGCGTCACAAGTCTGACGCATGCCCTGTCTGACATTATTCTGGGATGCGTTAAAATACTAATGAACAACGCCTTCATCGCTATGGCATTGTCATTTCGGTACGCCCCTCAAGCACTTCCTGCTAAAACTCGCCTGGGACACGTGAACATACTAGTGATCTGCGCTCCGAGGGCCAAGAGGAACTCAATTCTACACTCCCCTGACGCATTTCCTGCCACACACACTTGGGACACGTGAAGATAGGAATGATCTACGCTCTCAGGCTCCTGGAACACGTAAACAAAACGATACCTAGATTTGGGCCTCGAGACTGCTTGGAGACGCAGGAAGACTTGTGATTTGCCCGAGTGTAGGTGCGAAATCCTCGTCGACCGTGGTTCATTATCAAAGAATGATAAACCTAGGTTCATTATCTTCAAATGATACCCTGTGGTTTATTGTCCTGTGGATGGATCAAACTGAGCCCCCCCCGGCTGAATCATTATCTTTCCGGAATCATCAAACGAAGATTATTATTCCAACATTATGAACCACGGTTTATTTCAATCCGGTCATTACTCTCCAACGCCCCCCCCCGGCTGAATCATTATCATCATTCCAGAACAATTAACCAGGGGTCAATATTCCGGAAACATTACGAACCCAGGTTTATTATCTCCTGCAGATAGCGAACCTGGGTCAGTATTCCAACATGGAAAACATGGTGCGGCACCCGGGCGTTGAGGGGAAAATAAACAAATTATTATCATTCCGGAATTACCCAAAAACGGGTTCGTTATTCCCGGGACATTATGAACCCTGGACATTATTACCAGAACATTATAAACCCAAGTTAACATATTTTCGGGATCGGTAAGCCCAGAACATTATAAACCAAGGTTTATAATGTTCCGGGGGGAACATTATGAACCCCAATCAATATTTCCGGAACATTAAAACCCAGGTTCGTAATGTTCCGGGGGAAACATTATGAACCCTGGTCAATAATCCAGGAACATTATAAGCCCAGGTCAGTATCTATTTGGGATCCATCCTGATTTGCCCTTCCATTATCCTGGAAGTCTCAATTCCGCAGACTCCTCACACACTTCGTGCGTCATAGGCACTCGGCTGGCACCCAAAACATATCCTTGGAACCTCAACTCGACACAACCCTCACACCTTTTGTGTCCCATGGACCTCCAGGGACGATCTGATGGCGATATGGCGGCTGGAGAGAGCTTCAATTCGGCGTACCCCTTACGCTCTCAGCTGATCCCTCAGACGGCTGAGGTGAGCTGAAATCCGGGGCACCCCTCACGCACTTCGCCCCCCATGGACACCCAAAAGGCCGTCCGACCTCCCACGGGACGCAAATACGGCCCTAGTAAACATTGCAACGAGTGGTACCCACTCTCGTCGAGGCAATCTCCCTAACACCCACTGATTGCAAGCTCTGCGTGCAAGCAGTGGGTGTTAGGGATCCCTCCGCATACGTTTCATATTCATTATGCACAGTCGTTCATCCTAAAGATCAGTATACCAGCCAGTCCAGGTAGCGACACTCCCACACTCAACCCTGCCAAATATTACGATGCGGTGCAGATGCGTTGATCAGATTTATGTTTTCTGCGCAAATCCCCCGCGGGAATATGGATGATCGCTTTTTCTAGTCAGTGACTTGCTTGGGGAAACACAGGACATCCGCCGGGGCACTGCTTTACACTGAGGGCCACGGCGCTCGAATCAAACGATAACTCAGCTAAATCGGCAAAAAAACTCCTCCGAGGCTGTGGGCTGGCCCTGGGAAGGTGGAGAATTGCTTGAGAGCGAAAGGCGACAATCGGAACGCTCATCATTCCCGTGCATCACTTCCATGATCGCTTGTTCTAATCCGTGACTTGCTTGGGGCAAAGCAGGACATCCGCCGGGGCACTGCTTTACACTGAGGGCCACGGCGCTCGAATCAAACGATAACTCCACACTTCAAAACGACATCCCGCCAGCAAGCATTGCACTGAACATCGCTTACTTATAAAGTTGCCAGGCTCTTGTAATCTCTTTTTGGGAACTACTTTGGTGAAGAGTAGAGGGGAGGAAGGGGCAGAGAAGGGCAGGATCGGCACTCTTCAACTTCGTCAGAAATTGTCCATTAGCCTTGCCAATCAGCTCGACATGGGGTCCCCCAGTGAACTTACAGAGGCCCCGAGGCCCACGACAAACCAGATTATCTAAACCAGGATTTGGACGGCAGCACCAAAAGCGTAAACGAGTGCGTCCTCTAAAAGGCCCACCCCACGCACCGTGGTCTACAATTCTTTCCTCGAGAGAGCCAGACTCCCAGAGCGAAACTCTATCGGGGCGAAGCCACAGGAAACTTTGCCGCGGGTTCTCCCTCCCGCCAGGAATGTTTCGCTGGATGCAAAAACGTTGCAATTCACCCGCAATGGCTCCAAGACGATTCGAAATAGTCAAAAGCTCGAGGTCCCTACCAGACACGCCAGGGGGCCCAAGAGGAAACTCGGGCGAGCGAATTACTTTGGGCATGCGACTATGCGGCGGGGCTCCACGGGCACGAGTGCAGCCCTCACAGGGCGCGCCGATCCACACTGCTTTCACGATTCCTGAGACGATCCAGCCTCTCAAGACGTGCCACACCTCGGGGATAAGAAGATTGAAGTACTCACCGTTTGTCGTGTCCCACTCTATCACGGCTTCTTCTCTGACGCGATGGTGCCGACTGAGCTCGCCACAGCCTGAGAAGACCTCCACGATTACCTTCGGGCGTCGGCAGCGCGAGGATCTCAGCGCAGCCCGAAGTACTTCTCGAAGGCGAGCTCGATACCAGCCGACCTTCGCCGCATTGCCGCAAGGCGTGTCGGCTCCAGCTTCTGAAGCTCGAGCCCCAGGCGGCCGTGCTTCTCGTGCCGCGTGACGCTCCGAAACGCGCGCCAGCCGCCGCGCTACTGCACGGCGGCCAATGACCTGGCGCCCATGCTCCGGTCGTGGCTGGCGCCGCCACGGCGGAGCGAGTAGAGCGTGCCCTGCAGCACCGAGGCACCAACTCCTTTCAAGACCGTCTTGAAGGCTGCGGCGAAGTCCGCGCACCCCAGGCCGAGGAGCGAGTTGCCCGAGCCGCGGCGGCGCACCACTACCTCCACGCAGCGGGCAAGCCAGCGCTGTCTCTCCAAGTCCAGCGGGACGCTGATGTCGAAAGCATTCGTCTTGGATGGTACCAGCGCCTCCTGGCCCCGAATGACGAAGGTCAGCCAGCGAGCGGCCCCCGACTCGCCTGGAAGCGGCAACGCCACATGGTCGGTTGAGAGCGCCAGCGACTCGGAAGGGCGCATGTAAGTCTCGAACATTCTCACGATCCCAATTGCAGCCATGCCCATGTTGAGGTCGAGCAACTCTCGGGCCGCAGCGGCCACCACCGCCCAGGGCAGCGGGGGGCGCGAGAACTCGGGCCGCTGCTGAACACAGCCCTTCAGCGCCTGCTGCAGGACGGGGAAGGCGGTACGCAGCGGGCCCAAGGCAAGACGCGGGCCTCCCCACAGCAGAGCGGGCCCGACCCGCTTCGCCGTTGCAGCCGCCCCGCCCTTGTCGAAGAGCCACTCCACGAACTCCACCAGCGCGCAATCCCAGTCCTCGCGCGACCAGTCTGGGAGGCAGCCCAGGCGGGGCCAAGCGAGCAAGGCCCTCAGCACGCCCAGGTAGATCGTCTGAGTCTTCAGCATGACCTTCTCGGCAGCCAGCCTGGGCCGCCGCGGGCAGAGAAGCCCCCGATCCTGCACGACCTGTCGCCGCGCCTCTGCGTCGCCGCGCCGCTCGGTCGGCCCAGGCCTGCGCCGCGAGCCCGACGCTCGCCGGCCAGGGCCCAGGCACCCCAGAGTGGGCACCCTCGCCGCGCTGCTCGAGCCTGGCGTCGTGCGCCGCGCCGAGCGGGAACGTCTGCTGCTCCCGCTGGCTGGGCCTGACCCGGAACTCCAGGTGGACGGCGGAATCGGCGCCCGAGCCGTCAGCGTCCGCCTCTCCATGCGCACCGCGCCCACGCTCGTACTTGAGCCCAGGCGGCTGATAACGGCGAGAGGCCTGATCGCTGGGGTTCCACTCCGAGGGTAACCATCGGCAATGCAAGCGAATGTCGGCCGCGACGCTGACAGCGAAGATGACTCGGCAAGCAAGCAGGAGACGATGATGAGGTGCTCTCCCTTTTGCGAGCGCAAGCGTGACCGACATGTTGTCTCCCAGCACGAGGTGGCGCTGGCCGTGCCGTCGAGCGTGCTTAGCTATGCGCCTCGCGGCCCAACAGACAGAAGCGGCCTCGAGACAGTGAATCGCCTCACGCCGCCTCCAGCGGCCGCAGCCCACCACCCGCCAGGTAGCCTCCGTCAAGGCTCTCGAGCTGACCTCCGGGAACTCCGACACCCGCCCTGTCAGGATCAAGGCAGCATCTGGGGCCTGCGCCACCTCCGCTTCCAAGGTGCGATCCCGTGGCGCGCCAGCGGCAGCAAGTGGCCCACGGAACCTGGCTCGCTCCGACAGCCACCCACGGCTGGCGACCTCCTCGGGCCCCCACTCAGTCTCGACGACCCCGTAGCCCCAAGGTGACGCATCATACGCTGTGACAGTCTGGGACCAGGGCTTGCCCATCTCACTGATGATGCACGGCAACAGCGAGCGCGCCCAGAACAGTTCCTGCTGCGCGCTGGCCCACAGCGGCTGGCGTTTCAGGCCTGAGGTCTCTGCAAAGGTGTAGCAAGCGGACAGCGTGGCCAGCGCCTCCCGCCTCAGCATGCAGGCGGCTACGATGTGCCCCAGGACGCGCTCAATCTCATGGCCCGTTACCTTCCTGCCCTTGACCTCCAGCAGGTAGTCCAGAGCGCCCATGGGCCGCCAGAATCGCTTAGGCTTGATGCGCCAGTGACCAGTGCTCCTGTCCAGCTCGCACCCCAGCAACTCGGCCTTGCTGCCGCCCGACGCTTCGATGGTGCTGACCACCCCGAGCTCCGCCAACGCCTCACGCATCACCTGGGCGGCCCTCCCGGCGCGCCCCTGGTCCACCGAGGCAACGGCGAAGTTACCGATGTAGAGCACCTTTGCGTCCTCCTGCAGAAGGTCAACGCCAGGCCGCTTGTCAAGTACCCAGCGGCCACTCTGCAGGGCTCTCTCCATGACGTGAAGATGCCCCTGCTGAATCAAGTGAACAGCCCAGCTCCAGCCCATTGGCACGACGCGGACCCTGAACTTGAGCTCCGACGCGCCTCGAGCCAGACCCAGTAGTCCCCGCATAGCAGCAGGCAAGTACTGAGACTTAATCGCAGGCAAGTTGAAGTACCGCCTCGCCCACGCAGGCAGCTCGTACTGATAGAAACACACCTCAGCGTCTCCGGAGCAGAACCCAATCATGTCGGGCCCGTCGTACTCAATGGCGGCGAGAGCCTCGGGGCTGGCAAGCTCGGTGTAGGTCGGCTCGACAAAGTGAAGGTTGGCAGCGCGCGTGTCGGCGATCAAGCGAAGCTTGTTGTCTTTGCGCCGCACGAAAAACAATCCATTCTCCTCCAAAGCGCCCCCGGGGTCTACCTCAACCACACCCGCGTCAAACAGCTCCGACAGGGCGAGGCCAAAATCGTAGCCCCTCCGCGCCATCTTCGGGTCTAGATAGCGCAAGTTATCAGTGCAAGATCCAAACAAGGAGTGAACTTCAGCAGGATCGCGCAGTAAGCCGTGGCCAGCCTCCAGAATCTTGAGCAGCGGCTCTGGCATGATCGAGCCCAAATCGACCCGGCCAGCACCTCCACAAGGTAATGAAATCGTACCCGGCTGGTAGACTGCCCCGCCGCCTTCCGACTCAGACTCAGAGTAGCCAGGTCGAAGTCCCTGCAACGCCTTCCACGAGGCATAGGTATCATGGTGCGAATCTGGAAAGCTCACCGAACCATGCAGGCCAGCGAGGCGGCGCACAGCGACGCGTTGGGCCTCTGTCAGCGCCGCATCAAGCGCAACTCGTCGCCCTCGACCTCCCAGCGCGTTCAAACTACGAAGACCATCGCGCAACCAGCGATTCTGTCGATCACGCTTTGCACCACGACGCAGGGAGGAAGGTGATGACCCGAGCGGGCCCGAGCCATATAGCACGTAATCCAGCCCAACGCCCAGTGGGATCGGAAGCAGGCCGCCTGACGAGTCAACAACGTCCATGATGCAAAACTGTAGCACCGGGGAGTCCACGGGCGCCTCCCCTGCGTGCTGCGACGAGCTGGCCGGGGGGCCCCAGACGTCACCACTGATCAAGATTGAGGGGCACGAGCTAGCTCGTGCCTTTGGCGCCCTTGGGAGCCGTCTTCGGCCTCTTGGGCCCCTTCTTGGGGTTCGGCTGGCCACTCGAGTCGCCGCCCTCCTGCGCGTTGGTGCGCGCGTATGGCGCTGGAGCAGAGGCCCCTGAGGGAGCAACACCGGCGGCTAAGATCTTCTCCTCGCGCCCCTTGCGCCTCTCCTTCAGGATCGCGGCATCCTTCTGCAAGCGCTCCGCGACCCACTCCTTCAGCTCTGGGGCCACGAGGGCGGCCCCTCGCCCTCTCTGCTGCCCCAGGAAGATCTCGCGTTTGTTGAGCCAGGCTGACCCTCCTGCACCGCCTCCTCCCTCGGCTTCACGCAAGGCCGTGCCGTAGACCTCCTCCCACAGCTGGTGCCTCCTGCTCACATCTGCTCACCATCTCGAAGAAGACGAGGTTGGGAAGGCAAACCTGGTCCACCTGGAACCCGACCCCCAGCATCTCACTGAGAAAGGCATGCTCGTCCACACCTGGATCCTTAGCCGACGCGCTGAGGATCTGGCGCCACCAGTGATGGCGTTGCATCGGCGTGAAGTTCAGCTTGACAGACTGCGCGAGAAGCCACAGACACGTTCGTGGCCCAACGATCGGCCAGCCCTCGACGCTCACGAGCTGCATCGCGTCGACCGCGTCGGAAAAGGGTCGGCTCCGCTCACCCAGGCCATCGACCTTCACAGCCAGCGTCGGGATGTCCTCACCCCCACGTGGCGTGGGGTGAGAGACGGCGCCCGGCAGCCCCACCGCCAGGGAGGTGCCATCAGCCAGCTCGAGCACGATCCGATCTCCGAACGTCACCTTCGGTCGCACCTTGGAGATCAAGTCGCCAATCTGGTACCCCGCGCGGGCCTCGGCCGCCTCCCAGTCGCCCAGCACACCTCCGGCCTCCACAGCGCTGCGAGCGGGCGCATCAGCAGGAGGGGGCAGAGGCGGCGGCCCCGCGCCCCCTGGCATGCCCACCCACCCCCCTTCTTCTTCTTCTTCTTCTTCTTATTCTTCTTCTTCTTCTTCTTCTTCTTCTTCTTCTTCTTCTTCTTCGGGCGATCCATCGGCGAGAGCGGGCGAAGCCTCCTCGCCGCGGATCTGCTCCGCACACTCACGGAGCAGCACGCAGCAGCTCGGGCTGGCGTCTCCCGAGCTCGTCCACGCCGACGCGCCGCGCGCTGCCTCTGCACGGTGCCGATGCCGCCTCTCGGGGGCCGACTGCCTCCTCCTCCTGCTCCTCCTCCTCCTCCTCCTCCTGCTCCTCCTCCTACTCCTGCCTCCTGCCTCCTCCTCCTCCTCCTCCTCCTCCTCCTCCTCCTCCTCCTCCTCCTCCTCCTCCTCCTCCTCCTCCTCGTCCAGATCCTCATCGTGCAGATCGAAGTGCGGGGTCGCCACAATCCAGCGAGTCCCCGCGAGGGGCTCAAATAGCACGCGTTCGTGCCAGTAGTTATCGGCCAGATCGTAGAAGGCGGGCACTCTGCCCAGCCGCACCAAGCGCTCGAGGGTACTCTGCTTGCGAGACATCTTCGGCGCCATCGGATCCACGAAGAACCGCGACGACGGACTTGACGCGAGATGACCCGAGCTCCTCACCAGCAGCGCCACGCACTAAGAAGCCCGCCGCGAATGCGAACGCAATCAGCACGGCCACGAACACCCAATCACTGACGTCCCAGCCCGTCGAGGCGGTCTCCTGGCGCACGAGGTTCTCCAGGCCGCGCCGCTCGAGCTGCCTCTGGAGCAGCGCGATCAAGCCCGCGTCGACTCCGCCGCCCTCGAATCTGCACACGCATCTGGTCGGGCCGCCCCCGCCGCGGCCAAGCCGCGTGCCCAGGGCCTGCCCGAGCACCGCTGAGCCCCAATGGAAAGCCCGGCCAACTACTTGGCCCGCGAATGCACCTGCGAGCGCGGCCATCCACCTCTGAAGGTGGAAAATTGCTCGAGAGCGAACGGCGACAATCGGAACGCTCATCATTCCCGTGCATCACTTCCAAGCGGGCAATTTGTTCTGCGCGCCTTCAGCTGGCTTTGATTTTCATTGCCATCTTAACATGGTGCATGCGGGGCGAGGGGGGCCTCACTCCTATCCGCGCTCTCGGGGTGTATACACACCACTCAGTGATATTGCATTCTCCGACGTCGCTGATATCGCATCCATCTCAGATGCCATCTCTGCTCTGTCAGTCGAGCTGACCGTGCGACGCACGATTAACTACACGCGCCTCGGGGACAGCGCACCAGAGCGCTGGTACTTCTCGTGCCTCGATGTGCATCTTTACTGCGTCCCGTCTGCGTTTTATACGTGGAGCTGGAGGGACATGCTGCTCGCGCCCCCCCCCCCCCGCTGAAGCGGGATTGGGGTCAAAAGCAGCTTTGCGAGTTCTCCAAATCTTCTGCGGGAAGAAGACGGATGAAGAGGTCAGGAGAAGGCGGAGGAGACGGAGGAAGTGGAGGAGGACGAGGGCACATGGGAGGCGGACGTGTACTTCCGCGACGACCTACACGAGAGCAGCTGGGCAGCAGAATACGAGGGTGCGCCGCTGGATCTCCTAAGGGGGGAGGGGGGGGTTAGGACTCCCCCCCCCCCTTTCCCCGATCCGTCGTCGGGACCCCCCCCCCCTTCCCCCCTTCCCCGGTCCGTCGTCGGGGACCCCCCCCCCTTCCCCCCCTTTCCCCAACCCGTCGTCGGGGACCCCCCCCCCCCTTCACCCCTTTCAAAAGAGGGGGGAGATCCGACCCCCCCCCCTTTCGCCACGCCGCCCCCTGCGGAACCCGACCCCCGCCGCCCCTACCCCGAGCCCTCACCCTAACCCAAGACCCTAATCCTAACCCCAACCTCTAACCCCAGCCCCAAAGGGTACTCACTACTCATTACTCACTACCAACTACTGACTACTCGCTATTCGCTACTCACTTCTCACTACCCCCTACTCACTACTCACGACTCACTACTCACTATCCACTATTCACTACCCACCACCCACTACTCGCTACTCACTACTCCCTACTCACTACTCCCTCCCCCCTACTCACTACTCCCTACTCACTCCTCACTACCCACTACTCAATACTCACTACTCATTAAGCACTACTCACTACTCCCTACTCACCAATCACTACTCATTACCCACTACCCACTATCCACTACTCACTACTCACTACTAAATACTCATTGCCCACAAATCACTACTCACTACCCACTACTCGCTACTCGCTACTCACTATTCCCTACACCATACTGACTACACTGTAATCAAGACTCACTACTCGCTACTCCCATACTCGCTACTCAATACTCACTACTCACTCCCCGCTACTCACTATTGACTACTCACTACTTACCACTCCCTACTCACTAGTCACTACATAGTCTCTAGTCACTAGTCACAACTCACTAGGTCACTAGTCACGAGTCACTACTCACTACCCACTACCCACGACTCACCAATCGCTACTCACTACCCACTATTCGCTACCCACTTCTTACTACTCACTGCTCCCTACTCCCTACTCCCTACTCCCTACTCACTACTCACTACTCGCTACTCCCTACTCGCTGCTCACTACTCACTACCCACTACTCACTACTGAATACTCTCTACTCACTACTCACTACTCACTACGCCCTACTCGCTCCTCACTACTCACTACTCGCTACTCCCTACTCGCTACTCACTACTCACTACCCACTGCCACTACCCACTACTCTATATTTTATCATTACTCACTACTCACTACGCACTACGTACCACTCAGTACTAACTACTCACTACTCACTACTTACTACTCACTACTCGCTACTCACTACTCACTACTCACTACTCACCACTCACTACTCACTACTCATTACTCACTACTCACTACGCACTACGCACGACCCACTACTCACTACTCACTAATCCCTACTCGCCACCCACTACTCACTACGCACTAACTCACTACCCACTACTCATCACTCCCTACTCAGTACTCACTACTCGCTACTCGATACTCGCTACTCACTGCTCACTGCTCGCCACCCACTACTCACTTATCAGTACACACTACTCACTACTCACTACTCACTACTCCCTACTCCCTACTCGCGCACGACTCACTACGCACTAATTCTCCACTACTCACTACTCACCACTCCATACTCCCAACTCCGTAATCCCTACACGGGGAGGGGGGATCCGGACCCCCCGCCCCCCCTTTCCAACACCAAGGGGGGGAGGGGGGGGGGTCCCGACCCCCCCCCCCTTCAAGGGAGGGGGGGGGGGGGATTTGGGACCCCCCCCCCCCTTAAGGGGGGGAGGGGAGGGGGGGGGTTCTGGACCCCCCCCCCCCCCCTTGAAGGGGGGGAGGGGGGGGGGGGGGGTTCTGGACCCCCCCCCCTTTAGTGTATTCAGGGAGATCCACTGGCGCACTTTCGCAGAATACGGCAGAAAGCTGAACGCCCAGAGTTGCCCAGGAGTCGCAAGGCACGCGCGCTGTTCCATGGGCCCTCTGATTCGTTGCCTCGTGGCCCTGCATTCCTCCTGCCCCATCGCCCTTCCGAGCCCTTGTCGCTGATCCACGGGCTCGGAGAATGATAAGGAGGATAAGTGCAATGCAGGGAACAGAGATGGAGAGCAATGGCGGCATCTGCCACCGTGCCCCCTTGGCACGCTGTGGAGGGGTACAACGGCTCTTGCCATTTTCCAAGGCCCCCCCTCCTCGCTGCAGCGATTCGCACGCGCTGCCCCACCCCCCCAGCCCCTTCCTGACTCCAAGGATCGTTCAAACCGCCTGAGAATGCCCAAGCGAGCTCAGCCAGGGATATTACACACGGCCCCGAGAATGTCCAGGGGAGGAGTCAGGAGGAGTGAGGAGTGAGGAGTGAGGAGGAGGAGCAGGAAGAGGAGAAGCAGAAGGAGGAGGATGAGGACGACGAGGAGGAGAACGACGAGGAGGAGTATGAGGAGGAGTGAGGAGTGAGAAGGAGGAGGATGAACGAGGAGTGAGGAGTGAGCAGCGAGAAAGAGGAAGATCATCAGGAGCAGCAGGAACAGGACGCGACGCTTGGGAGATCGTGACTGCGAAGCGCGAGCCCGTCTTCTCGTCTGGCCCTCCCTCTCTCCCTAAGAACGGCTGGGCGGGGTTGAACGATTTACCCCTCCCCCCCTTCTTACTACATCACGTTCCTCCCCATTCTTCTGCTGCCCCGCCGCTGCTGTTGCGGTTCCTCCATCCTTCCTTTCTTCTCTGTTATACCCTGCTCACGCAACGTCTGGTGCAAGGCACACCTGACCTGACCTGACCTTCCTTCCTTTCCCCCCCTTCATGAGATCACCTAGAAGTCACACTTAACATAAGAAACCGCTGAGAGTCTCTGGAACCACTACAGCCTGCAATGGTCTCTTCCACCTCCTCCCCATCCTGATCCTCCTCCTCCTCGTCATCCTCCTCCTCAGCGACCTTGGGTGTGTCTGATCATCCAGATATTCCTCCTCCTCCTCCTCCTCTGCCTCCTCCTCATTTCTTCTCCTCCTCCTCCTCCTCCTCCTCCTCCTCCCCCCTCCTCCACCTTACCATCATCCACCCCCACCCTGTCCTGGCCCTGCCTCCACAGATTTGGTAGAAAAAGCGCCTCGCCCTTCGCCTTGGCGATCTCTGGGTTCTCCTCGGAAGGCGGGGGGGTTCGGGGCGCCAATCGAGAAAGGGAAGAAAAGTAGGCTGTCTGATGGAGAGACGAAGGTGCCCCCGATCTCCTCTCAATGGGAAGTTTTCCACTGTTCCTACTCTTGGCTTCCAAGGGCCCTCGCTGGGCCTTGGGACCGTCAACAGCAACTCAGGATGAGAAGCCGGTCCCATCCAGGGATCCAGACCTCTGGGGGTCCACGTCATGAGAAAATCACGGCGTCGGAGGTCTGGGAAATGTGGACTGGCCAGGACATGAGAAGGCAGTGAACTAGACGAGGGAGCAAACATGCATAGGCACAGAAGCGGGGAGGGCAACGGAGGTGGCGGGTGGGAGGCAGGAGGCAGGAAGCAGAAGGAGGAGGAAGAGGAGGAGGAGGAGGAGGAGGAGGAGGGAGTCACGTGGGCACGGCAGGAGACACGACGCAATGAGAGGCAGCGGACATTGCTGAGCCCTGAGCGTCTGGGACTTCGCTCCACATCGCATTTGGACAGTTATTTCTCTAGACGCTGGCGCCTCGAAGCAGCCCGCGGGTCCAAAAGTTTGGGAGGTCGCCTCTCCCTGCCGAAGAAGACTCCGCGCGGCGGGGGGCCGATCGGACCCACGAGCGCTGGGCCCACAGACACACCGGCCATCCTGGCTGACGAGGAGGGAGACGAAGGTGGGGGACAAACAACATGAGGATGACACGCGCTGAATGTTGACTGGCCCGTGTCCGAAGGTTCAGGTCCACTTGAAGAGGAACAAGGTGAGATGCAGGCGAGAGGAAAGCGGCGCGAAGGCGGATTGAAGAAAGGAGGGAGTAGGAGGATGAACGATGGTGTCTCTCAAAGCGGAGACCCCAAATGCCGCCATGCCTGATTCGCCTCCGGGGCGTCGCAGCAAACAGGGCAGCGTGATCCATACTGGCTGGACAGCCAAACTTGCTGGACAACGGATGGTATGGCGACCTCGATCCACGACTTTGTGGAGCTTCGACCGGACAAGAAAATTGTGCCCGCCGCGGGGATCTGCGGTCGGCAGGGCGTCCAGCCTCGACATGGGGTGCGTCCGCGTAGCCCCCTCGGGGGTGCATCCCCGAATTTCCATGTATTCTCCTTTCGAAAAAGAGAATAGACTCGACCCCCCCCCCCGGACTTATCAGCTCCCCCTGGGATAATATAGTTTCATATTTCACACTCGTCCATCCTAAATATGAAATCATACCATCCCAAGCAGACCGGTTCCCCCCCCTTAGGGGCCCTTGTAAAACAACCGTACGCGGTGACATTTGTTGTTCTAACATAACACTTGTTCACGAATCCCTTGCAAAAAACGAGACGAAGTGCACACGCGCGCGTCGTCGCGCGCGCATGCCGAAATCCTTCAAAAACCTTCAGCGCCGGAAGGATTTCGCAATCGAGTTTCCAAACAACATACAAAAACACATGGTTTCGCAACACTGATTTGCTAAAAAAGTTTCCGCGCGAGCTCTTGCGAAATCTTAAGGAAAGCATAGGTTTTTCAAGATCTTCACAACATGCTACCAAACGGGCTTCGCGCGCGCATGTCGACATGTGTCGAACGCCCTTGCGCGTGTGCCGTCGCGAGAATCCTCTGCAACAAAAAAAACGAAGGCAGACGCGCGCGTGGTCGCGCGCGTACGCCGAAATCCTTCAAAACCCATCGGTTTCGGAAGTATTTCAAAATCGCGCGTCCAAAAAACCTACAAAAACCGTAGGTTTCGCAACACGGATTTTCAACAAAAGCGTGCGCGCGCGCTCTTGCGTCGTCGTCGTCGTCGTCGTCGTCGTCGTCGCCGTCCTCCTCCCGCGTCGTTGTCGTCGGCGTCGTCGTCGCCTACGTCGTCCTCTGTCTTTCCTCGTGTTCGTCGTCGTCGTCCTCTTTGGCGTCGTGGTCGTTTCCGTCGTCGTTGTCGCCGTGGTCGTCCTTCCTCCTCCTCCCTCGTCGTCGTCGTCGTCCGTCGTCGGCGTCTCGTCGTCGTCCCTCCTATTTCGTCGCGTCGTCGTCGTCGTCGTTGTCGTCGTCGTCTTCCCTCCTCCCTCGTCGTTGCCGTCGTCGGCGTCGCCGTCCTTCCTCCTTCTTCGTCGTTCGCGTCGTCGCCGTCCTCCCTCCTCCCTCGTCGTTGTCGTCGTTGTCGCCGTTGTCGCCGTCGTCGTCCTCCCTCCTCCCTCGTCGTCGTCTTCGTTTGCGACGTCGTCGTCGTCTTCGTCGTCGTCGTCGGCGTCGGCGTCGTCGTCGTCTTCGTCGTCGTTGTCGGCGTCGTCGTCGCCGCCGCCGTCGTCGTCGTCGTCGTCGACGGCGTCGTTGACGTCGTCGTCGTCGTCGGCGTCGTCGTTGTCGTCGTCGTCGGCGTCGTCATCGTCGTCCTCGTTGTCATCGTCGTCGTCGTCGTCGGCGTCGGCGTCGTCGTCGTCGGTGTCGTCGTCGTCGTCGTCGTCGTCGTCGTCGTCGTTGTCGGCGTCGTCGAAGTCGTTGGAGACGTCGCCGGTGTCGTCGTAGTCGTTGTCGGCGGCGTCGTCGTCGTCGTTGTCGCTGTCGTCGTCGGCGTCGCTGTCGTTGGCAAGTGCCATTTGGTACCCACCGTCACGGTCTTAAGAGATTTTGCGAACCAAGTTGCGGGTGGGTGGGTGAGATGTTTGCGCGAGCAGTGGAGTGGTCAAGCGCGGTACAGGGTAGTCATTCCCCTACCTAGGTTCTGCCCAGAGGGTTCTTACTCTCTTTCTTAAAGGGGCCAGACAGTGCACACCGCCCCGGACGGTTCCCCCAGTATCCGCCCCGCGGTTCCCCCAGCTACGTCCCCTTAGTTTAGCGTTGTTTATCTCATCTTAGCTTAGCCTATTTCATCTTAGCTTAGCTTAGCTTCATCATCGCTCGGGTTTTTCTTAGCTTAGCTTACCTTCATCTTCGCTTCGTTGACCTTTAGCACACCATAGCACATCATAGCGTAGCGTATCATAGCGCAGCACAGCATATCATATCATAACCCAGCGTAGCATAGCATAGCATAGCACAGCACAGCACAGCATAGCGCAGCACAGCACAGCATAGCACAGCGCAGCATAGCATGGCATAGCATAGCAGAGCAGCAAAGCAAAGGCAAAGCAACAGCAGCGACAGCAAAGCAAAGCACAAGCAACGCAAAGCAAGGCAAAGCAAAAGCAACAGCAGAGCAAAGGAAAGGCAAAGCAAAAGCTATGTGCGACAGATGCCGAGCTAGCCTCGATGGCCGGACCGGAGCCCCCGCAAGCAGTGCCTTCCGTAAGTATGTCGGCTCAAGTCCGGAGGCCCTGCCACACAGCCGCCCACGCTCATGTCCCGAGGTTGGCGGAGTGAGGCGTTCAGCGGTGCTGCGCAGCCCGCCTCGGCACCAAGTGGTGCTGCACATCCCACCCGGCCTGTCGTGGCCATCGATGCGGGCGACGTCGCGTCCAAGCGGAACGACGACCAGCGGGTTGAAGGCAGCAAGATGTACACGGCTGTCGAGGATGGTTTCTGGGCGTTCGTTGTGCTCTTTGCGGCTGAGTACGGCCTGCAAGACATGCACTTCATCAGTCGCACGACGCGGGGCACGTGGTCCCCGCACCATGCCCGCCTGGGCAGGGTAGAGGCGTGGGTCGTCAAGCTGATCCGGAGCACAGGCTTGCTCGAGATGGAGATGCCTGACGCGAACATCCATTTGACGTCTCAGAAGAACGGGGAGGATGGTAAGGGTGTTGCTTCTCGGCACTTGCAGCTGACCCACATGATCGACAACGATCTCGAGTGCTTGTGGAGTGTCTTGAACGACGGAGTTGGCAACTCGGGCCTGTAGATCAGGCGGAGCAAGGGCCGCGTCATCCAGTACACGCGCATCCGCCCTGTGGACAGCAGGCGGTGGCTTGATGAAGACGACGACTGGCTGGAGAGGTGCGACTCGTGGTTCCAGGTTGCCGGATACTTCCAGCTGGAGCCACTGGACATCTGGGATGAGTTGGTGAAGCTCGGGCCGCCGGTGATGCCCCACCCCACGTCGCGCGGAGGCAGGCCCCTGACAGCGGCGGACGTGATCGATCTGTGTCAAAGCGGTGGTCGCCGCGAGCCTAGCCGCAGTCGAGGCCGTCTGCGCCATCGTCGCGGCGACGACGACGACGATCATGCTGATGAGCCTCGCCGAGTTGAGGCCAGGCGCCGCAGGAGCGGTGGTGCTGCACAGCCCACACTCCGAGCAAGGCCATGCAGCGCCAGCGGGGATGTCTCGGCGGTGCTGCACAGCCCACCTTCCCGCACAGGGAAGCGGCGTTCGCGTGAACAGGATATGAAGCGTGTCCTAGTTGTCTACCGAGGCAAAGTTCTACGCTCTGCGTCATCCCGGTCATCTTTAGAAGACATTCGCTGTGACAAAGACATGACATTGGAAGATCTTGAGGACGTCTTTAACTCCGGCAAAACCATGATAGTGGACACCCTGACGGAGCCTCGCATCGATCTCGCGTTAGTGGCAGATCTCTCCGATGGCAGGATCAACCCACCCCGGGCGGTTCCCCCGGTCCCCTGGGAGCGGTTCCCCCAGTCCCCTGAGAGCTCTAGCTTTAGCTTTAGCTTTAGCTATAGCTTAGCTTTAGCTTTAGCTTTAGCTTTAGCTTTAGCTTTAGCTTTAGCTTTAGCTTAGCTTTAGCTTAGCTTTAGCTTAGCTTTAGCTTAGCTTTAGCTTAGCTTTAGCTTAGCTTTAGCTTAGCTTTAGCTTAGCTTTAGCTTAGCTGTAGCTTTAGCTTAGCTTTAGCTTAGCTGTAGCTTAGCTTGAGCTTAGCTTGAGCTCAGCTTTAGCTCAGCTTGAACTTAGCTTTAACTTAGCTTTACCTTAGCTTTATCTTAGCTTCAGCTTAGCTTTAGCTTAGCTTTCGCTTAGGTTTAGCTTAACTTTAGCTTAGCTTCAGCTTAGCTTTAGCTTAGCTTTAGCTTAGCGTTAGCTTGACTTTAGCTTTAGCTTAGCTTCAGCTTAGCTTTAGCTTAGCTTCAGCTTAGCTTCAGCTTAACTGTTACTACTAATGCTGCTTTCCTAAGGGCTCCAAATCCCAGGTAGGGTCGCACTGGGATAATTTTTCTGAAGGGCCAGTTTGGTGATGGGGTGAACTCCTGCATTGGGATGCGAGACATCGCCCACGACTCCCCTCCCGGTGCTCCTCGGACACAGCGGAGCGAAATCACTGCACCAGCATGCTAGTGGGGACCAAGACGCAAGACGGCGGCCTTACCCTCCATCAGCGGCGCGACCCCACGATGTGCACCCGGATTAGCGTCACGTACCATAGGGCCTCCCCAACACATCAGGGAAATCCAAAGGCGAGAAACTGCCCCAAGAGAGTACACACGTGGCCCAAATATTGCTCAGGAACCCTCCAAGACGGCCTAATAGAAATCCTAGACAACACCAAATCCGAGGAACGAGGTCGAGTTTAAGACCCACGCGAATTCAGACCTCGCGCTGAACTGACATGGACTCAATCTGTTAAGCGCTGCGCTGCAGCCCTGGCATGGTGGCGGGGTTTACCGCAGGCACCTGGATAACGGGGACCCATACGGCACCTATCAGACTAGCCCCCCAAGAGACAGGAAAACCGTGGAAGAGGAGGATGTGGAAGATGACGGCGACGAGAGATGACGAGGTGATGGTGATGGGGATGGTGGTGGAAGGAAGGTGATTGAGATGGTAACGATGACGAGTAGGATTACGATAAGTGTGACGAAGAGGAAGGATCAACAAGGCGTTGAGACCGCCCTGGACAACTTGGGGGGCCTGTTGAGGCCAACCGGGACTACCTGGGGGGCTGTCTGTGCGCAACCCGGTGGGGAGAACGAGGAGGAGGAGGAGGAGGGGGTGAGGTGAGAGGAGGAAGAAGAGAGTCGGCGCCTGGTTCTCCAGCTTCCCCTCCTCGCCAACAGCACTGCCAGGCTCCTCCGGGGTCGCGGCATTTGCTCGCTGCCATCGATGCCCTTCTCCTCTTCTTCCTCACTCCATCACTCCTTCCTCGATTCCGCCTCCGTCCATCCTGCCTTCCTCCTCCTCCTCACTCCTCCTCCTCCTCCTCGTTCTCCTCTCCCCCTTCCTACTCATCCCCGCACTCGCCAATATCCAAATATTCCACATAACCATCCACCTTTCTCCTCGTCCTCCAAATTCTCCTCCTCCTCCTACTCCTCCTCCTCCTCCTCCTCCCGTGTCGTCCTGTTCCTTCAACTCCACCTCCTCCTCCTCCTCCTCATCATCATCATTGCCTGACAATCCTCTATGTTCCACTACGCCCACAGAATCTTGCTCGTCCTCCAACCCCAGATCCTCTTCCACCGCCTCCTCATCTTACCTTGCCGTCCTCCTCCTCTTCGTCCTTGCTTTCCCCCATTCCTCCTTCTCCTCCTCATCATCATTCCTCCCCGTCTCATCACGAGACCTCCTCCTCATACTCCTCCGATGTTCATATCCTCACTAATGCTTGGACCACCGGAGGCAGACACTTCAGGAACGGTCACAAGGAGTCCAGCTCCGTCGAGCCTGCAGTCAACAACTCATCATGAACCTGCTCCTCATGGCATTGTGCGGATATCGTCGACATCCTTCGGCCTCGCTCGCAAGCTTACCCCCGACACAATCTTCCGGGATGCCGCTCGATTCATCTCCTGTGCCCCGCTGCCCCTCCTGCTACACCTCCCTCTCCTCCATGTGCGCTATCCAATATTTCTGCTTCTACACCTCCTTCCACACACTATCCAGACCTCCGAAGTCGTTTTCTTGGACGTGGCCCCCCAAAGGTCTCGACACCTCCCCTGGGGCCGGCGCTTCGTCCCGATCTATGTTCTGGTGGCCTCGTGACGCAATCAGGACCTCCGAAGTAAAACAACCCTATCAACCCGCCGTTGTGACTTTTCTCAAGACGAGGAGAGGTCTAGGCCCCCGACTCAAAAGGCGGCCGCGTCTTCTCCTCTGGGGTGCGATTCCGACCGAGCAAGAAGTTTGAAGGGAAGGCAGCCGCGGCCACGAGAAGCCTCCCAGAGGCAGAAAACAAGACCTCTACACCCTGCGAAATGCTTAAGAAATCATGGGTTAAGAAATTCATAGTCTCAGAACTTGAATAAAAACCTAAAGTTTCCATTCAAATCTTAGGATTTACATTGAAACATTAAGAATAATCGAGACTCTGGCCGAAAACCTAAGTTTTCTTAAGCATCGCCTAAGGTGTACAATAGGAGCTCGACCACAAGAAACCTTCCGCAAGAAACCTAATCCTGAGACACCAGGACGTCCATGGACTTTTTGGTGTGGGAACGCCACGCGTTCCATATAGCAAAAGCATCGAAACCCAAGAAACCCAGGGCACCCTGGAGGCAGGCAGGATGTTTCCTGGCATGGGTTCCCATTGCAGCCTCGATGCTCGATCTTCTGCACAGCCGCGACGTCCACCTCGACCTCCTCTCCCCTCGGCGGGTGCCGCGGCCGCGGCGCCTGCACCTTGACCCCGCTGCTCGAGTCGCTCCTGGTGCTGGGCCCGTGCGCACCACCGTGGCACTGACAGAACAGAGGAACTCTGAAACCTCCTCCTTCGGGGATCTTCTGACCCGGGTCAATCCAGACCCGGTTCAATCAGGCCTGCAAGATCCTGCACCCAAACCCGGGTCAATGCGAAGGATCCTGCAGGATCCTGCAGGATCCTGCAGGATCCTGCACCCAAACCCGGGTCAATGCGACCCTGGCGCTGCAGGATCCTGCAAGATCCGGCGCTCTGGCTGACCCCCGTCTGCACTGACCCCCGTCTCGAGGCTCCCGACTCCTCATCCTCCTCGTCCTCCCCCAACCTCACGGATTCGTGTTTCGCCATATCTTGGCCTCTGGGGGCCCTTACCGGGCCCCAGGGCCACCAACAGACACCGCAGGATGCAAAGCTCGTCCTGGGGGACGTGCGAAGCAATTCTCTGGCTGTGTCTCACGACCGTAGAGCACAATGACTGAAGCAACGCTCGTCGCAATATGACAGCCGAGCGGCGATCGCGGAACAATCAGCGGGGCAACAGCCAACAAGACACCCCACGGGAAAAACTCGGGAAAGACACAGGACCGCCGCACACGACAATCACGGGAAAACCACGGGACAACCACGGCGAGCCCCCGCGCAACGGGTGCAGCAACCTGTTGTCCGACTCGACATCGCCCTCGCGCAGCTTCGCCTCGCACGCATGAACGCACCACACGAAAGGAACCCGAAACCAAATTCCCATTTGGAATCACTAGCCCCCAACCTCCGATACAACAGGCGCGGCTGCCAAACGAACGGTAGGCCCATCTGCAGGACACCTTCCACCGCCAACTCTCCAGCACACGCCAGAGCTGTCCACACTTGAAGCCAGCAGCTCATCGTTAAACTCTTGCTCTTCGATATCCTGCTCTTCCTTGTGCTCCTTCTCCATCTACCTCCTGGATAGAAATAGTGGTCTGCCGCGCCAAGTCTAGACTCCCCCCGCAATATTCATAAGCAACGATGAACAAGGATGAGGAGGTACAGAGAGAGGATGGGAGGAGGTGGAAGAAGAGATGTGTCTGCAGCGAGCCGCAAGCATTCCAGCCCAGCGCACACCTGCTGACACACTGGAACAGACTGCGAAGAACTGTTGCTAAGCATGTCGCACCACCGGTTCTGGTCCTCCGCGCTTCGGCGCGACACGCTAACCACGTCACCATTTCCAGGCGTCAACGTCCCGATCATTTCTCGAGCCTGCCGCCCCACGGAGTGGAGCGACACGCTATCAGCTCGCAAGGCAAAGCGTATCGCCGAGGCCCTCGCCGCGACACGCCAGGCAAAAGCTCCTGACCGTAAGGCGAAAGAGAGGCAGGGACCCCCCAGAACACCACCATCAAACAACAAGCACCGCCGAAGCGAGAGCGGGTGTAGAAGCGATCGCCACCTGTCCCAGCCGTAGGTCAAATCATCATGTTTCTCCTCCTCCTCCTCCTCTTCCTCCTCCTGGTCCTCCGATCGTATTGCTGCTCGACTTCTTCAAACGACCGAACTGTTGAAAAAAACTCAATATCGCGTCCCGCGTGGCCTCCCCGACTCGCCCTGCTGATCCCAATGCGTGCGCTCAAAACAAATGCCGTTGATGCTGCTCTCCCACGGACAGATCCTGACCGACTTTGCGCTCGCCTCGCTCGAGCTGTCGGACTTCCGCCTTGCCAAGAGCAAACAGCGCCCAAAGGGGGAAGTGTCAAATAGCGAGCAGTGGGAACCACGACGCCACAACAAAGGGGGGACTGAATCAACGGGCAAGCGGAGGCTGAGGCCACGGAAGACAAGCATTCTGGATATCCTGCGCTAGGCTCGCGCACGTAAGCACGCCATTGCGGGGGCCGCAGGGCGCAAAATGGTTTGCCGTGTAGGAGTGCGCCAATGCCTCCTCCTCCTCCTCCTCCTCCTCCTCCTCCTCCTCCTCTTCCTCGTCCTCTGTCTCCTCCTCCTCCTTCCTCTTCCTCCTCCCCCTCCCCTCCCTCGCATCAAATTCCACGAACTCCCACTCTGGTACATGAGCTCCCTTCCCCCCTCCCTCCTCCCTCATCACGTGTTTCATCTCCTCTTCTTGGGTCGACTTGCGTATGAGCCCGACGCGCTTCAAGTTGCCCAATCTCGGTGAAGATGAGCCGGGCGAAAGAAAAACGCCATGTGGTACGCATTAACATGTGAGCACGATCATCAAACAATAACTTGTTGTACTCTCGATGTGCAACGAACGATGCGCAAGGTGTGTATGTCGCATTTTGCGTGGTGCAAAATCTGCGGTTGCATCGCGGTGCAACCTACGTTCTGCAATTTGTCTTCGTCAAAGCATGGTTTGCGGATTCACTGCTCGCACAATCACCCCACCCTCCCACCCGCAATTTACTTTGCAAAACCCTTGCGGCCACCATTGCAGCTGCCGCGCATCTGTGCGGCCGCGGTGGCGCACGAACGTTCGCGCGCAGGGCGACCACCTGGTGTGGTACAAGGGTGTAACTGGCGTGGCCGCGAAAACGTTTACCGATGGGAGGTCCCCAACGCATCTCATAAGCCGCGCTGGCGCGTGGGCACTTCAGTGCGGGACGGTGACTCTGGCGGGCGTGGTATCATAATGATGCCGGCACCGTCGGCACCGTCGGAAACGATCATATAAGAATGGCAATACGACGGCGCCGATGATGGTGGCAATGATGACGATGGGGGTTGAATCGAATTCATTTTAAAAAAGGAAAACCTGTGTGGTGCAATCTACGCGGTGCAACCTATGTAACGCAACTGATTATTACAAACGAATTGACACATCCCATGCTCTTGCAAACGTCCCACGCATCCACACGCAACTTGATTTGCAAAACCCATGCGTCGGCGATTGCGATGAATGATTGGCGTTGGCTGGTGCATCTCTGAAGCCGTGCCAACCCGAGCACGCGCGTGCAGCGGCCAGCTAGCTTGGCGCGACCGACGCGAACGCGGTGGCGCTGACCGCTGGGCACATCGCAGTGGGCATTTCGCTGCGAGTCGGCGACTTGGGCGGGCGCCATATCATGGCAACGTCGACGACGGTAGACACGATGATGGTAACAGCGATGCTGGCAATGATGTTAACAACGGCGACGGCGCCGATGCTGATCACACCGACGGCGATGACGGCGTCCTCGCGTCGGTGATGAAGGTTTTGGACAGAGTTCGACATGCGCGCGCGGCCGGCGCGCGAGAGTGGCCCGCGTTGTGTTTTTGGCGCGGATCGTGCCCCCTCTGCAAGCGCGCAAGGGCGCGCGAATGATTTTGCCATGCGGCGCCAGAGGCCCGTCCAGCAGAACTCCATGAAAATGTTGCACCTGTAGTTTTCTTAACAATTCGCAACAGCGCGAACGCAGGATTTCTCGAACATGGATCTTGCGTAATGATGTGTATTTTTTGTTCGTATGGTGTCGTGGCACTCGGTTTTGGCATCCTTACGAAACCTGCGTTTTTTGAATCCTGTCGGCATGCGCGCGCGACGACGCGCGCGCGCACTTCGCCCCACTTTTGCAAGAAGGATTCTTACGACAGCACTGGGGCAAGGGCTTTCGAACGATATCGGCACGAGCGCGAGCGAAACCCGTTTGTTAGAACTTTCCGAACTAATGAAACATCTACGGTTTTCGTGATAATTCGCAGGAGCGCAAGCGCAATCTGTTGTGGAAATCCACGTTGTGAAACCATGTGTGTTTATACGTTTTCTGGACACTCGATGTTGAAACCCTTACGAAACCAAAGGCCGAGAAAGTTTTCGGCGTGCGCGGGCGACGACTCGCGCGCGCGCACTTCGCGGTGTTTTTCTTGAGAACTAATGATTTTGGGTGAAACGAGTGCTCGTGCAAAGTATTCGTTGCAGAGGATGGCCGGTGGTGTCGATACTGGTTGGGCTGGAATGGTACGAACTCATGTTTAAGATGGACGATGGGCTAGAATCATGCGTACACAGCTGCGGTGCAATCTACGTGGTGCAATTGATTTTCACAAACGAGTTGACACATCCCGCGCTCTTGCAAAGATCCCACCCACCCACCCGCAACTTGGTTTGCAAAACCCACGACGACGGCGATGACGACGCCGACGACGACGACAACGACGACACCGACGACGACGACGACGTCAACGACGCCGACGACGACGACGACAGCGGCGACGACGACGACGCCGATGTCGGCGACGACGAAAACGACGACGACGCCGACGCCGACGACGACGATGGCGACGACGACGTCGCCAACGAAGACGACGACGAGGGAGGAGGGAGGACAACGACGGCGACAACGACGACAACGATGACAACGACGAGGGAGGAGGGAGGACGGCGACGACGCGAACGACAAAGAAGGAGGAAGGACGGCGACGCCGACGACGACAGCGACGAGGGAGGCGGGAAGACGATGACGACGACAACGACGAGGACGACGACGACGACGACGGCGCGATAGGAGGGACGACGACGAGACGCCGACGACGGACGACGACGACGACGAGGGAGGAGAAGAAACGACGACCACGGCGACAACGACGACGGAAACGACCACGAGGAAAGACAGAGGACGACGTAGGCGACGACGAGGACGACGCGTGAGGAGGGAGGACGGCGGCGACGACGACGACGGCGACGCAAGAGCGCGCGCGCACGCTTTTGGTGAAAACCCGTGTTGCGAAACCTTGTGTTTTGGTAGGTTTTTTGGACACACGATTTTGAAATCGTTCCGAAACCGATGGGTTTTGAAGGTTTCCGGCGTACGCGCGCGACGACGCGCGCGTCTGCACTTCGTCATATTTGTTGCAGAGGATTCTCGCGACGGCACACGCGCAAGGGCGTTCGACTGATTTCGACATACGCGTGCGCGAAGCCCGTTTGGAACCATGTTGTGAAAATCTTTGAAAAAACCGATGGTTCTCTTAAGATTTCGCACGAGCTCGCGCGGAAGCTTTTTTAGCAAATCACTGTTGCGAGACCATGTGTTTTTGTCGTTTTTTTTTTTTTTTTTTTTTTTTTTTTTTTTTTTTTTTTTTTTTTTTTTTTTTTTTTTAAAAAAACCCGTTTTTTTTTTTTTTTTTTTTTTTTTTTTTTTTTTTTTTTGTTTTTTTTTATGGTTTTTTAACTAAAAAAAACTCGATTGCGAAATCCTTCCGGCACCGAGAGTTTTTGCAAGGGATTCGTGAACAAGTGCTATGTTGGAACAACAAATGTCACCGCATAGTGTTTTTTTACAAGGGAACCTCAGGGGGGGGATACCGGCCCCCCGGGGATAGTGTAACTTCAGACTTAGGATGGACATGTGGTCAGAATCATAGATGATCTACATACCCGAAAGGTGAACCGATAACGCCGGGGGGGGGTAGATCCTATTCTGTTTTTAGAAAAACGAATCTACGCGGTGCAATCCACTTTGACCGTCTTGAAACTGTCCTCTCCACTGCTCGTGAAAACATCCCACCCTCCCACCCGCAACCTGGTCGCAATACCTCTTAAGACAAGACCGTGACGGTAGGTACCACATGGCACTTGGCCACGACACCGACGCCGATGACGACACCGACGACGTCTCCAACGACGTCGACGACGACAACGACGACGACGACGACACCGACGACGACAAGGACGACGTCGCCGACAACGACTACGACGACACCGACGGCGTCTCCAAAGACTTCAACGACGCCGACGAGGATGACAACGCCGACGACGACGATGACGCCGACAACGACGCCGACGACGACGAAGACAACGACGACGACGACGACAACGACGCCGCCAACGAAGACGACGACGACGACGACGACGAGGGAGGAGGGAGGACGACGACGGCGACAACGACGACAACGACGAGGGAGGAGGGAGGACGGTGACGACGCGAACGACGAAGAAGGACGGAGGACGGCGACGCCGACGACGACAACGACGAGGGAGGAGGGAAGACGACGACGACGACAACGGCGACGAAACAGGAAGGATGACGACGAGACGCCGACGACGGACGACGACTACGACGACGAGGGAGGAGGAGAAAGGACGACCATGGCGACAACGACGACAGAAACGACCACGACGCCAAAGAGGACGACGACGACGAACACGAGGAAAGACAGAGAACGACGTAGGCGACGACGACGACGACGACGCGGGAGGAGGGAGGACGGCGACGACGACGACGACGCAAGAGCGCGCGCGCACGCTTTTGTTGAAAATCCGTGTTGCGAAATCTTGTGTTTTTGACCATTTTTGGGGCACACGATTTTGACATCCTTCCGAAACCGATGGGTTTTGAAGGTTTTCGACATACGCGCGCGACGACGCGCGCGTCTGCACTTCGTCTCATTTGTTGCAAAGGATTCTCGCAACGGCACACGCGCAAGGGCGTTCGACAGATTTCGACATGCGCGCGCGCGACGCCCGTTTGGTAGCATGTTGTGGAACTCTTGAAAAAAAACTCATGGTTTTCTTAAGATTTCGCAAGAGCTCGCGCGTAAGTTTTTTTTTTTTGCACAACTCAGTGTTACGAAACTCTGTGGTTTTGTATGTGTTTTGGAAACTCGATTGCGAAATCCTTCCAGCACCGAAGGTTTTTGAAGGATTTCGGCATGCGCGCGCGACGACGCGCGCGCGTGCATTTCGTCCCAGCTGTTGCAAGGGATTCGTGAACAAGTGCT